CTGCAAAGGAGTCTGGTGGAGACTACGGAGGTCCCGTGTTTGGGGAGGGCCACCCCACGCACGTTAAAGAACCCACCGCACTTAAAGAGTAGGAGACATTCCCGGTGTGAGTGGTTCAAACCTTACAGTCAGGTCTTACGCAGCTTGTACTGGTGTGTTACGCCTTAAGGCGGGTTACCGGTTATGCGAAACAAAGAAAACAAAATGACCCTCTCTTCGGACAACTGTATTTTCCCCCTAGGCCTGTATCACTGGGACGACACACGTTTTGAACAGATGCATTTCCCCTTATGTCACTGAAAATACACATCCTTTAAACTGGTAAATATTGTAATAACTGAATTTCCCCTGTATCATAGAGTAACAAAAAACCAATGCAGTCTACGCTGCCCTATCACTACAATATCTTTATCCTAGAAGAAAAACTGGTTTCCCAATTACACAGCATAATAGAGACATCTAATCTACTGAAAGATCATTTGAAGACCGATTTTGTTTAGATCGAATACAACATAAAACTTGGAGAAACTTTTTTATGACACAGTTCATTTTTTAATCTACGTCAAAATACAACAATGGGAACAGGTGTATCGCCGTCCTAGAGTTGACGCTTCCTTTTTTCAAAAGATACACTCTTCTTTTGTAATGTACAAATGGCGTATAGCCTGCGGAGATGGAAAGAAGGACAAAGCATTTGTGTGTGGAATGTCTCCTTGAAAAGCCTTCCAACAACAAATCTTTGTCAGAGGTTTGTCTCACTGAAGTTTATCTTATTTAAGAACTAATTTTCCACTAAATAGCAAAGTTCTTTCTATCACAACCATTTATTTTTTCAAGCCAACGTTTCGATGACCTTCTGTCATCTTCATGTGCTTCTTACTGTGCACTGACACTAGATATTGCTTGGTGCATAGTGCACTTATCTAGTGTCAGTGCACAGTAAACCAGTCTGATGAAGATGACAGAAGGTCATCGAAACGTTGGCTTGAAAAAATAAATGGTTGTGATAGAAAGAACTTTGCTATTCAGTCGTTTACCAACCTGATGAAATTATTTACGGATAATTTCCCACTACTTGTAACACAGAAGAAAGGTGACATTGTGTAGTATAGTATTTTCAGGTTCATTGTACCTTGTACCAGTCAAAATACCTAGCGTGTTTTTACAAGTACCATGAACAGTGGACCACGTCTTGGCGCACTGTCTTATAGTCAAAGACTCACGGTTTCTGACCTTCGGCCGAATTTTCTCGCGACTAAATCAATTTTTAAATCGCTTGCCTGGCTTAGTAGCCATGACTGACAGTGTTGGGTCTTTTGAGTCAGACTGGAGGCCTAGGCCTGCTCGCCCTCGCCAGTGGCCTCCCTACACGTATTCATGACTTTAACACTTCCCATAATGCCTAGTAAAGATTACGGATATGACGTATGACCAACCCCCCTCCCCCTTCCTCGATGTAATATTTCCAACAAGTTCTATCGACAAACTGGTTAACTATATTGTTTTCAATTATTTATCTAGTATAGAGCGCATGCCACAATTGCATTTTTGTTGGAATTAGAGAAAATGACATACCTTCTATCGTTCTGCCTTCTATCGAAGACTCTCCTACTCATACGGTCGCATTACGTATATCCACTCCTTACGTCATATCCGTGATCTTAACTAGGCATTATGGGAAGTGTGACAGTCATGAATATCTTTGCCAAGTTTACGAGTGACAAACCCCGTACGTATCCCCTGCTGTTACAGGTTTAAAAGATGTTGCATGCGGGAAAAGAAAGGATATCAACTGTGAGGCGACGGTGCGCTCTTGACAAAACCAAGCCTCGAGCTCAGCTTCCAAGAGCCAATGGACACGACTACTCCGGCATGGAACACTCTTTTGAGAATCTGGTACTGGAGGGAGGAGGAGCCAAAGGAGTTGCCTACATCGGAGCAGCAAAGGTAGAGACAACCATTCACCATTTTCCCATTCCCATGATGCATTGTGCCTGGGGATAAAATCTCCCAGGATGCATATAGCATATGAAGGTATCCTGTTGACGTTAAACAGCTTGTTTTTGTTTCTGTGTGTTGTGAGGTGCTGAGGCGTTTTATACTTATCAATTGACAAAATATGGGCCAATTGACCAAAAAAAGGTAAAACATCGCTGCACTTCCCACGAAATTTATTTGACCAAGGTAGTCTAGTGTGATCAGGCAATGAAATGCATGCCATTACAAAGATCACAGGCGATAGCATAGCAAGCTCGCTAAAAAGATGAACGACATATACTACTTAAAACAGCGGCCATAGATATTATGAAAAGAAGGTCAGCAAGTAAGGTGTAAGCTAAGGTTTCTACTGGTACATTTTCTGTTGAACCTAGCACTTCCGTCTACGCTTGCGATTGTGAATAGATTTTCACTCAGTGGCATGTCTGCCATCTCTGTACTCTTGACTGTAGATCCTGGATGAGGCAGGGATTTTGCCCAACATCAAGCGGTTTGCTGGAACCAGCGCAGGCGCCATCACTGCCACCTGGCTGGCAATCGGGATGAAAGCAGAAGACATACTGGAGGAAGTCAGTCTGAAAAACCTGATGGACCTCTTAGGTTAGTAATTACGAGGACATTGTCTTGTTTGATCAATAAAAAAGTCATTGTTGGGTGGCTAGAATGTCTAAAACACAAGGCACTTGGCGTCTGCTCTTCTGCAGGATGATGGTACTGAACAGGGCTGAGCGCTCTGGAAGGGTCACGTGATGGAAGGGTCACGTGATCAATGTGGCAAAGTTCTTCGGAAGTCGATATCGACTCCCCATGTTTCGGAGCATTTCATGTCCACGGCGTGAACGTATCTTAACGCAAAGCAACATTTACCGTGGCCCATGCATGTCTTGAACGACGTAGTTTACGCAACAATTTCGTCCTCGATCCATTTTCGTCTACATAAATGACGCACGTTACGTGTAAAAATGGGCCACCGTTAACATTTTTGTTGTTTTCTTCTCTCCACAGATGCACCAGTTTCTAAAGGCTGGTTAGGATACCTGAAGTGGATCCCCCACATCCCAGGCGTGCCCAGCTGGCTAACGGTGGACAGCATCTCCATGGCCCTGACAATAGCTACAGAGAAAGGCGCGTGTGAAGGGGAGGAGTTTCTGGACTGGTTCGGAGACGTCTTAGAACGACACCTCGCACGTCTTTATCCGTCAAAGAAAGGACTGGACAAGGACATCACGTTCGATAAGGTATTTTAATACCTTAAAAGTACCACAATAAGAAGTCTCATATACCTCCGTAAAATATTTGTGTTAATTTATTCATTGTTGTGAATTTCTCCCACTGCTAACGAGGAGGCAACATAATGCAAATAGCAGGAAGTTGAGGACAGGAAATCAGATAACCGTCTGTTGGACTTTTTTCGGACCTCTGACCTAACTTACTGCAAGGAGGTTCATAAAGGTCTTTCTTACTGTTAGTGTCTCCTATGTGCCTAGCATGTAGAAATAGACAGGAATACGAGCAAGCAAAGATAGACACAGACCCAATGAGCACGAAACCTCCGCTCCGCATACGTAGCAATATTAACTACATGCAGATAGGCGTTTGAAGCAATCATAGACTATACATTTATCATTAAATATACTGTAAACACAACATAATGTATTATAATGCATATGGGGGATATATTGCCTGTTTTACCTGTTGTAATTTGTAATTTTGTACGTAAACTCTTTCATGGAGTGTTGTCCTGCTCTAAGCTTTGCTTTGTGGTGTTAAGAATAAAATAATAAATGTATTCTATACGTACTCATCAATCCGTATTTTTTCCTGTTTGTATAGCTCTACCACGCGTTGGGAGTGGAGCTGTGCATCGTGGCTTACAACATGGTTTTGGGCAATGAAAATTATTTTCACGTCAAAACCACGCCTATGATGAAAATCAAAGAAGCAGTGCGCATGTCCATGTCCATTCCAGGTTAGACCACGTTTTTGTATCTCTAAGTATTTACTGCAACAGTATGAGCATTTTACATTTGTATATTAGCTGTATATGGTCGCATATGCTACTATTCATATCGATATCATGGGGTATGACATTACCAAAGGAAAACATATTGTTTTTGCTCAGTTTCCTCTTCTTCCTCTTCTTCTCCAAACCAAAAAGGTCAACGACCTCACACCGGACGGCTGGTGCCATGGAAACTAGTGTTGGGTTACATCATGTTGCAATTTTATAGCAGGAGGGATTTAGACTCTTGTCTGACCATATAACGTTATATGAATGTTGGGAATCGGGACGTTGGGTCGAGCCATCGCGTTGTCCACGAGGGAAGCTTAAGCATTGGGAATAACAACGATCACTTTGCCTTGGTACTTTCCAGTTGTCTTCAAGCCGTGTGAGCTTTCCAGTTTTCCCAGTACTTTCGTTGACGGTGCCATGGCAGCTAACTATCCTCTCTGGGCATTTGACGGTAGGTACCATACCAAAGGGTATTATATGTAACATTTTTTGCACCAAAAATTTGAATATTCCATCGAAATTTTCTGCCTCATGATGAAGGCATTTACAAATGAGAAGTATTTCCTTCTCGATACTAATTTGACTTGTATTCCTCAATTAGACGAAATAAAATGTTTGAATTCCCACATGTAGGATGGTACCTGTCCATGAAGAAAGAAGACACCTTCCACAAGAGGCTGAAGATGAACGAAGGACAGACGGTTCGTCGGATGTTCCACCCCGAGTACAGGAGGGAGCGGTTCGGCACCAGGAACGACAAGACACTCGGCATTGCGCTGGTAGGAATCATGTTTGGACTTTCAAATTTCGTACAGGCAAACTACATGTACAGCAGTGAGGGTGTGCTTGCAACTGATGTGATAGATAATATACAAGCAGATCTCTTGGTGGCCGCGATACAGTATCAAATTGGCCAGGCAGTATCCATTTGCCACCGATACTGTCAGCTAATGGATACTGCTTGGAGATTAGTAACAACAGAGGTTTAAAGAAAGACCTCTTCCTTTACATCTCATGGTAACAGCAACGATGACGGTTGGTTGAACTTCTACAAAGAATTTGTGTTTGTTCTTCTGTCATAACCAAAGTATAATTGCATATAAAAATCAAAATTTACATGGGAACCCCGGGTTTGACCATCCAACATGGCGGCCAATCATGGTCACGTGATAGTCACGTGAGTGCAAAGACCATATAAGGTACTGTGGATTGCAATTCACGGAAATATTAGGAAAGTTGTAATGTGTAATGGGAAATTGGCCACAATAAAACCCTGTCTTTTGGTGATTCATTCAATAGAGTCTAATTAGAGTTCATCTTCAAGCAGATCAGGTGGCAAGGCAGTAGCCGTTGGCCAAGCAGTGACCATGAGCCTTCGGTGGCTAATGGCCACTGCTTTGACCAATACTTACTGCCTTGCCACCGTAGGATCTGTCTGGAGATTATTTTCTGGACTCACACTGTCATAACACTTCCTATCCTGCAAGGATACCGCAAGATTCAGTACAGTTAAGGGATGCTTTAAATCTTTGTGGCATTTTCAAAATATAGACATGAAACATTCATCAAATTTTCATTCAAGAGCACCTTTAAACGGCTTGGAGTGACTTCACGACTAAAAGATACCTTTTACTTAATCATCAGTTTTCTAGCGATGACCGTGAAATGTACCAGGAGCGGTATGACGAGCGGCACAGGAAGCTAGCGGAGATGAAATCTGATCATGAATTCTTCAAGGAGACAGAAGAAGTCACAGAGCTACACAAGTAAGCTGTTAACATTATTTGCCAGAGAACTAGATATGTTTTGGTTTGATATCGATAGACCTCTTGGCTATATTTTTTTGCATTAGCATATGCATGCTTCAATTCAATGGAGATGGTATCATTTACAAAGTCTCAATACTATGAATATCTGCTCTCAATTACTAGATCTGATTCTTTAAAGCACCAACGTTACCATGAATTACCACTCTCATTATATATTCTCATCATTGAGGGGCTCTCATGAGCCTTGTTTTTGTGTATGGTGAAGAATGAAGTAAACAAAAAAAAATATGTGGAAAAAACAAGCTGTTTGATACTGAGTTGTGCATGAATCGCATGGTCTTTAAATTTGTAATGTTAAACTTTCTTAATTCGTTTTCGTGGTACCAAACTTTGACAGGAGTTACAAGGAAAAGATGGCCGAGCGCGAAAAGGCACAGAACTTGAGCAAGAAAACTTTGGAGCAACTATTCGGCGAGGATATCAAAGAAATGATCGAGCGGGTTGAAGGAGTGAATCCTCCTCCCATACCTGAAATGGTGCGTATCTAGGACGCCAGCCTTGAACGTTTAGGCCATGTTGATTTGATTATACGGATGACATCCTCTGGGAACCCCAAAACTCGATGCGAGCGTGCGAATATAAAAAGTTAGGACAAAAAAAAATTAAAAGTTGCTTTCATTATGAAATTTACGTAGTGACCACAGTGTGTCACAAATGTGCAATTCATTCATTAAGAATTCCGAAATTCCAATTTCAGGATATGTCAGCAAGAGGAGGCTTCTCACCAATTCCGCGACTAGAAAGACCGACAATAATATCTACAGAGGAAGCAAAGAAGATCTTTTTCGAGGTATAGTGATGATGCCACCCATTTTTCTTGATTTTCAATACAGTCGTTGATGTTAAGAGAAAAGTAAACTGTCGCTTCAGAACATCATCCAAATGAAAGGAGATAGTCGAAATCCTGCAACTGCCTGTTCAGTAGATGTACCCCAAATAATATTGGGCGTAATGCCAATTATAAAATTACTGTAAATTACGTCTTTTTTATATTTCAGCTTTTCAGTGATGAGGACATCGCCATCCTGGACGCACCTTCAAAGGAAAAGGCGTTTGAGCTGATGATGCTTGATGAGAATGGAAAAGTAAGTTATAATTTATTTGATTGTTTTTTCTTGTTGACAAAATCTACTAAGCCTAAGGTACATTTTGTAGAGGAGGTGAGTTATCAATAGTACCCACGAATACGAGGTCAGTGTTAACGTTTACGGCGTTTTGTGTGTATTCAAATGCACAAATGCATGTCTCCCTGCATGTTCGGTCAGTTATGGCCGACGTGACCTGGGCTCAATGTTCCTTTCTTATATTTGTGAATATAGAATGATTTTACTACAGGCAGGTAGAGGGGTTTGTGACCGCAGATGGAAGTCAAGTTGGTAGGCAAAATGGTTCCCATGTACACGTATGCTGGGGAAATGGAAGAATGAATGAATGAATGAATGAATGAATGAATGAATGAATGAATGAATGAATGAATGAATGAATGAATGAATGAATGAATGAATGAATGAATGAATGAATGAATGAATAAACCTTTCTTTGCATTTGGTTGTGCCAGTACATTCACTCAAAAAATCTAAATATTAGTACTTTCCGGTATTTCGGGATCTCCGATGTCTTTATCCAGTGGAACATCCTCATTATTTCAGCTGACGACAGACCGACTGTGGAAAATCTACGATAACGTCGGTCCCCTGCAACAGGCCAGGCGCACATACCTCGGGCACAGGCTCGTCTCTACACCGCGCCAGTATTTCAGCACCATGATCGAATTCGTGGGAAGGCATAGCGGCACCTCTGTAAGTTTACTAATCATCATACATGTGTCTATTATTTATGTTTACCGAAGGAGAACACATTGTTTTTGCTTAGTTTCTTCCTCTTCTTCTTCTCCAGTGACCTCTGACCTGACCAATGACATGATTTGTTGACGTCTGAGACCATGGTGACTGGTGTTGGGTTACATAATGTTGCAATTTCATGGTCTACTCTGCTCCTGTCACCATATACTAGTTTTTCCTTGTTTGCTCAGTTTCTTCTTCAAACAGTGACCTCTGACCTGGTCAATTACACCGTCTCTCACCATGGTAACTGGTGTTGGGTTACATAATGTTGCTATTTTATAGTAGGGAGGATTTAGACTCCTGTCACCATATAATGTGAATGTGTTTGAGTAAGATTTAACAGAGCAGACCATATGCGAACATTATGCATTTGCTTTCAATTTTTTTTGCAAATATTTCTTTTCTAGTTACTGTTTTATTTTAACACACTGAAGGGTGGTTACCTTAACAACAAAAAATTGTACCTTCATGAAGTTGGCAAGTCCTTAAGGAATGGAGAATTTTTCTTCCACGGTCATTAGTAAAATTAGTCAGCCGTAACAGAACATATCCTAATTTGTTGGAGAAGGGCTAAAAAAACAGTAGCCTCATGATCACTTAATAGAACTTTATCTGGATCAAGCTTTAATTCAGTGGTTGTGTAAGAAAAATTCAATTTCTCAATTCGAATGTTGCTCTTTTCCGGGGTAGATATTCTATCAACCATTGGGGCGAATATATTTTCATTTTAGACTTCGGTGACGTCTCGCACCACATCTACACTACCAAAAATGTTTTTTCTTATTTTTCTTATGTTGAGAAATATTTTCTTGTGAAGGGGATATTCAAGAAAATTCAAGAAACATTCTTCAAAGTTTTTGTATGTTGTTTCTTAAACAAAGAATGTTATTCTTCTTTTTCTTAAGAAAATATTTCTAGCATCATGCTCATCAACAAGAATCTTAAGAATTTTAAGAAATTTGGCTCTTAGTTCAAGAAATTTTTTCTTGTGTACAGAATGGTTTTCTTGATTCAAGAACAGTTAGCTCTTAGTTTAAGAAATCTTTTCTTGTGGACAGAATCGTTTTCTTGCTACAGCAAGAAAACTCAAGAAACAAATGTGTTTCTTGAATTTTCTTGCTACGGGGATTCTTTAATTTCTTGTTGAAAGAATACTTTTCTTGCTACAAGATACATTTTCTTTGTACAAGGAAAACAAGAAAAACGACAAGAAGCATTTTTGGTACTGTAGAACTTGTCCTCAAAGCTAGAAACCTCTATTTGTCTTTCCTCAGGAGGAGGATGTTCATAGGTCTGTTGCCATAGATACGGGCTATGTGGGCACCATGGATTTTGATATGGCAAATGAAGACATGGAGTTTCTCATGAGGGTGAGCTGATATGTGTGTGTGTGTGCATATGTGTGTGTTTGTGGGTGCGAGCATGTGGGGGTATTTGTGTGTATGTGTGCGTATGGGAGTGTATGCATTTCTCTGTGTGTGTGTGTGTGTGTGTTTGTGTGCATGGGTGTTTCTATGTGTGCGCATGTATGGTGTATGTGTATGCATGGGTGTTTCTATGTGTGCGCATGTATGGTGTATGTGTGTGTTTGTGTGTGTGTGCATGGGTGTTTCTATGTGTGCGCATGTATGGTGTATGTGTATGCATGGGTGTTTATATGTGTGTGTGTGTTTGTGTGTGTGTGTGTAATATGTGTGTAATTTCAAACGATACGTACTAATAAGTATTTGACAGACAATTAAAAGAAAATGGCTACTTAAGTGCTGTCTCTAGACACAATGAAGCTACCAAACGAATGTTTGACAGTGTTTTTTTTACAACAAGCTTTAACAATTCCTTACTGTGTTTTACAGCAAGCAGCTTGGGCGACTATTGCCTTTCTGGAGGAGAAGAAAGGTGCCATGGTCTGAAGATGTGCCGAAAATAATAAATAATTGCAGAAACATCAACTTGATTCATACATGTACTCTTAATATTGTAATGCTTCGTGTTAGCATACTTTTAAACTTAACATACGTCTCACATTTGAAACATCTTTAAATCAGGAAACCCAGAAAAATTTGCTCAATATAATATTTGCTTAACGTTAACGGTGATAAGTAGAAAATGTAATAGTAAAAAAAACTGTCTAGATTGCGTATTCTTAGACACAATATCAAGCAAAGTCTAGATAAGCATTAAGGTCACACCTTTTCAACGTTAAAAATGTTATACAAAATCTTTTTAACTATTTAAAAGTAGTTAATAGCAAATTATGCATAACTATAGTTAATAACTATTCATAGATAATTAATAACATATATGTTGTGACTACAACATTGTATGTTAATATTCGGATAAAATGTAATAGATAATACACAATAACTATCTAGGCCAATCTTCTTATTGTAACATTAGCACTCACGGCAAACGAGTCCATTATAATTGTACGTAAGCTTCCCCCTTATTGGCTGTTGTAATGAAGGCGGGCAATGTGATTGACCAAAGCCTGTTTTGAACCAGTAGCATACTCACACAGATCGCACTTGTAACGCCTGTTCTGATTCAGTTTCTTGTTGTGAATTTTCATATGATGAGTTAAGCACGACGCGGACGCTGTCTTATACTCACACATCTTACAAACGTACGTCTCATCATCACAGTGTTTAGCTTGGAAGTGCATGTTTAAATGTTGTTGTTTTGTAGCCATAAAATCGCACTCTTGACACTGAAACAACAGCGAAGCGTGTGTCTTCATGTGAGCGGATAGTTGGTAGTTGCACCTGGCCTTAAAATCGCACTGGTCACAGGCAAAAGTCAAAACCCTCTCGATGTGTGGACATGTGGAGGTTAAGATGTCCTTTCTTCGCAGCACGGTAGTCGCACTCACTACACTTATACGGTCTTTCGCCCGTGTGGGTCCGCATGTGGATAACCAGATGAGACTTGTGGACCGTCCTGTATCCACATTCGCCGCACATATACGGTAAATCCCCCATGTGGACCTTTTCTATGTGCTGTTTCCGAGCCATGTTCGTTTTCCAACTGCCACTACAGTGAGGACACTGGAATGGTCTTTCGTCAGTGTGAGTTTTCATGTGTTTGTATAAGTGTGATACTTGTGCACTGCGAAAGTTACATTGGTCGCAGTTGTAGGATTTAATTGTTTGTTCGTGTCGGTTGCGTGTTTCGACACGATGTGTTTTTCTAGAACGTCTTTCCTGGTGGCCGCGTAGTCGCATTGATCGCATGCGTATATTCTCTCTCCGGCCCCGCGTTTGAGTCCCATGTGCATCTCCCTGCGGTGCCTGTAGAGGTTGTTTATATGAGTCGCTATGTACTCACACTCCGTGCAGCGGTGTTCCGTCTTTTGTTGTTTTATCTTCTTCGGCGGTCCGTTTTTATGTTTCCTGCCGTGACGCGCCAACAGACGCGCGTGTTCTGTTTGGTAAGGACAGTGGGGACAATGATACATTTTTACATCTTCCGTCAGCCCATCCGCTGTTCTATAGGTAGCGTTGTGCGGGTCCAGGACCACTTGTGACTGCGCCAGGTCTTGACTAGCGGGGTCCGGTGAGTCGGTTTGCGTGGACGTGTGGTCAACCTCCCCCTGTCCTGCGTTGTCGTATGCATCAGTCTCGACACCATTTCTTCCAGATTCGTCCATTCCTGTCAAGACAGTTTAAGGGATACAGCCGTGACTTCGAAGTAAATTACCTTGAGACAGTGCGTAGGAGTTCTCAAAATACCGCTGTAAGGCCTCATCGACTTAATTTTATGGATGACATTCCCTGAAGACCCCCAAACTAGTGCGCGCGGGACGAATAAAAAAAGTTACCGACCAAAAATAATAATGCTACGAAACAACAGGAATACAAAGCTGGTATTGTGCATTTGCGGCAGTACTTAGCGACGTATGCTGGCTTTTGGCCGAATTTATGAATCGGCACTGTACTGAGTTCTTGCGTGTGGAGCTTCGGTAGCCTGGGTGCCCGGCTCGCTAACTACCATAGACTACCCAGGCCTAGAGCCAGGCCAGAGCCTCGATGGACGTGATCTTTTTTGTGGCGAAAATGAATGCGGGCGCGGATGTCATCCATAAAATTAAGTCGGTGTGGCCTAATTTGTAATACCAATAAGGCCACAGCAAGTATTTCGTATGGATGACATTCATCATCATGACATTCAGCGCAATTAATTTTCACCTGCTTTTGAAAAAAAAAATTGTCGTCCCGGAAAGTGATGAATTGTCAGTAAATTTGAAAATTTTGGAATTTTTTTCTTGCCCCACCTTGTTTTTTCCCCCCTAAAAGTATCGCATTTAATAGAATTGGAGTTTTGCGGAGCATGTCATCCATTAAATTTAATTGATTTGGCCTTATGGAAAGAAGCAACGGGGTAGCTTTTGGCATGCATAACGTAATATTCATCATTAGTCACATCCTGCACAGTCCGAGTCCTGGCTGTACAGTTTCTTAGAAACTTAGTCAGCATGAGTTGAGTTACTGAGCGGTCCCCACACTACATCCAAATATGGTGATGGCCAGAGAAAAGGCCACGCAGCCAGATCGACAGACGATTTTAATTTGAGGTCTTGAATCGTTCTCAAATTTCACATTAAAGTAAGACATAGGTTTAACATATGTAATAGAGTTTGTTTTTGATTAACGTTTACTATAATAGGATGTGATTGTCAAATGCTGAATAAAGATCCTTGAATAGTGATACATTGCAGCATCGAAATGCGTCTTCTCTTCGCAAGGACGAAACTAATTATGAAGGAATGTAGAAGATCATGCTTAAGTTGTGTTCTTACCTTCAATAAAACACTGCTAGTGTTGTGTTTCTTGAGATGACTCGAGGAATTTCTGGAGAACCGCTAGCGTCTTCTCAGCGGGTCATCCAATCATCAATGGGGTGACCAAATTCCTTCGATGTCAAGGGTCAAAGGTTAGACTACCCGCTTACCTTCGTAGTGTCTCTGTGAAGTTATATCGAGTATGTCTTTCGTTGATCTTGGCTATAAATGTTCCTATTTTTTAGCCGATGGTGTGTACTTCGAATCAAAGTTGCCAGTTCTATTTGAGACCACCAATGAGCATATTATTGATACAAAAATGCACACACATACACATTTCCACAGATGACTTACCACCAAATAAGCATTTAATTTCAGTGCAAATATACAAAGGGTACAAGAAAATGTCATAATTATCATACAAAAAATGACAGGGCATCATACATGTAGCTTGGCCACTTGCATGATACAAAAAGTAAGGTAAACAAAAATAACATCTT